TATGTATGAATATACTGTTGGAATTGCTCTGAATTATTACTTTTTAAAATTTATTTATTTATTTATTTATTTATTTATTTTTTAAAGATAGGGTCTTCCTGTAGTTCCAGCTGGCCTGGAACTCAATGGCCTTGATTTCACAGAGATCTGCCTGCGGAGTATGGGATTAAAGGTTGCCCATTCCTTTTCTAGTTTTGACTGAAATGTTTGCCTACAGGAATTACACTTTCTTATAAAAGAATTTATTTTAATTTATTGTACTTAACTGCCTGTTTATATAATTTTTTTTTTGTCTTTTTGAGACGGGGTCTCCCTGCAGCCCCAGCTGGCCTGCAGCTCACTATGTAGACCAGTCTGGCCTTGAACTCAGAGATCCCTCTGCTTCTGCCTCCAGAGTGCTGGGACTAACAGTGTGTACCACTGATGCCCCTGTTCATACAATTTTTACTGATACCTGCTGTGCCTGTATGTACAATAGAATTCTCTCAAATATGTTTGATACTTTGATGTGTTTCTTATTCTTAATACTAAGATACAGCACTAGTATTTGGCTTCATGGCTGTTCTTGCATAGCCTGGGGTTTCATTCATTACAGATCATTTTTTTTTGTTTTGTTGTCAGCTATATTTTCTTTTTCTTTCTTTCTTTTTTTGTTTTTTGGTCTTTTTGAGAAAAGGTCTCCTTGTAGCTGCAGCTGGCCTAGATTCACTATAGAGACCAGGCTGGCCTGGAACTCACAGAGATTTGCCTGCCTCTGCCTCTGCCTCCCAAGTGCTGAGATCAAAGGCATGTGCCACCATGCCTGGCATGTCCACTATATTTTCAATGTATTTCTTTTTAGTCATGTAGCTTAGTACCTTTACTTATGGTCAGCAGTATGTCACAAAGTATACAGCATCAGTGATTGCCCAGAGTTCAGTAAATTGTACATAGTATCTGTCAAAAGATAGAAATAACAACAAATTTAGTATGAGGTTTTTTTTTGTTGTTTGTTTTTGAGACAGGATTTGGTTATATATATGTATTCCAGGCTAGTCTTAAATTCACTGCATAGTTGAGGCTAGATTTGAACTTAATGCAATCTTACTGCCTCAGGCTCTGGAGTGCTGAGAATTACAGCCATGTGCTACCACACCTGGCTGGGTGCTCTATTTACCTTAAACTCTCATATATCAGCAAACAGAGTATTACAACCCTTCAGGTACTGGGGGAAATTAAGTACTAATTCTGACTTGAAAAGCCTATAGACTCTAACAAGGAAACACACAGCATAAATGAATAGATTAGTGTGAAGTGTATGGTATGTGTGGGTTTTTAAAATTTTTTTATTTAATATCGAACTTTTATTGACCTTGGAACTGGTGGCTGGGTCTAGGTGGTAGCCTACTTCCTTTACTGAAAACAGCCTTTTCTCTTTCACAGCATTGAAGAAACCACTGACTTGTGGGTTTTTTTTTTTTCTCTTTCTTCTTCGTTGATTGATATATTTATTTTTATGGGGCTTTTGGCTACTTTAACAGTCCCGCCTCTGAAGCAGTATTCCTAAAAATCTTTTAAGGCTTAGATACAAGCTCTCTAAATGCTTTCAACATTTTTGGTCTTTGGAACAGAGTATGTTACTAAGAGGCCCAAGGACATTTTGACTTTTAGCCAAGAAACTGGCTACATTTCTTTGGGGTCTTTTTACCCTAACTGCCTAGCCAATTCCTACTTCCTATTCTTATAATACCAACCTCTGAAGAGGTTACCCAAATTGCCAATAGGGAATTGGGGTGCAGACTGCTCTGGCTTCTTCCATGCTGAGCAGAGACACAGGGTGAGGCAATTGGCGTATTCCTTTAGTGGGTCTATCTAAAAGACTCCCAAATTGCGTAACTCTTATCTCTAGGGGGAAAAGAAAGTCCTTGAATTGTGACTAGGAGATGTGAAGGAGAAGTAAGGAAAGAGTAATTAGGATTATAAGTTCTAGACAGGGAACTAGAAAAGTCAGAACATGGCAATTTTCAAATGTTCTTATGAGAGTCCATTGGAATTTCTTGACAAGTCCTTCCAAAAGCATCCCTCTATTGGGTTCTTCCTCATTTTCTTTTGTCTTCGAAGGCTGGACTCTAGAGTGATGGATTCAGGATTTGCTTTCAGGTGTTTGATAGCTGTTGGAGTGGTTAGAATCAGTGTCAGTTCCCTCTCAAAGATTTCTAGAGAGGGGGAGAAAACAAATTTATCCATCATTTTAGAACAATAGTGGGTTGTCTCCCTTAGCTACAGGTGGGCACTACAGTATTGGAGACCAAGAATCTTACATCTGAACAGCACTTTCTGGTTAGGAACAAAATCATCAATGAGAAATAATTGTCTAAATAACTTTTTATAGAGACTTAAGCCTAATGTCTGGGAAATGTAATCCCCTGAACTCTTAAAGAAATATGCTAATGACTTTACTGTTTGGTTATACTTTCCTTTTGGATGTTTAAGACCATACAGTTGGCCCAAATAAATCAATTAATTTTTACACTTAAGGTCATTTGAGGATCTGTTCCTCAGGGGTAACATGGGTTTGGGAAGAGCTCCTGGCACCTTTTTATTTATTTATTATTTTTATTTTTTTATGTGTATGCGTGTGTTGCCTGCATGTAGGTAAGTGCACCCGTGTCGTGCAATGCCCGCAGAGGACAGAAGAGACTGTCGGATCCCCTGGAACTGGAGTTATGGACAGTTGTTAGCTGCCATGTGGGTGCTGGGATTCGAATCTGGGACTTCTACAAGAACAGTCAGTGTTCCATCTCTCCAGTGAGCCATCTCCTCAGCCCCCCTGGCTCCTTTCTTTTACCGTCTATGTGAAGATAAGTCAAAGGTCCTGCTCCACCATGTCTGGCTTCAATTGGAAGCATGAATGAGATGGTTCCTCTGAGTTGACCCTCCTCTTTGTAGACTGGCCAGTGGTTCAAGTGTATGGTATGTGTGTTACAAAGGAGCAAGCCTCTAGGTGTTTGGGGGTGGTTAAGGAAGATTTTACTGACTTTTGAGCTAAAATATGGTTTGTTATCGAGGTAGATGGCATTCCATATAGAGCAAAGAGCATGAGCAAGGAAGCATGGAAGAATCTAGAATTTTCTGGGAAGAACTTTAGTGCAGTGGGGTGGAGACTGGTGAGTGAGGGAATAGCCTGAGATTAAACAGATTAGGCAGAGCCAGATTGAACGGGTTTGTCAGCCTAGCTGAGGAGTGTGGACTTTAACCCACAGGAAGTGTAAACTACTGATTTTAAGCAGAGTAAAAATTCCTTTAAAACGAATTCTCTGGGCTGTGTTGCAGGGGCAGAGTCTTTGTCTAGGCTGTGTCAGGCCTTGGGTTCGATTTCAGATCTCCCCACGCCCCCCAAACCAAACCACCACCAAAAAAAGATTTCTCTGGATGGATTGGAGGGCAAACGGACTGAAGAAAGTCAGACTAGTTAGGGCAGCTGTAGTTAGGTGAGAGGTGAGGTTGGAATGATAGGAAAAATGGCTGTGTAGCTGATGAGGGGCATGGATGGGTGTGTGAATGGTGGTGACTCTGAGTTTTCAGTCTGGCTATGGAGGGATTATGCCACTAAATGAAAAGTAATTTGCCTTAGGTCATTAGGAATTATAGTTGATTCTCTTGCTGCTTTCAATGGAACAGATCAGTAATCAGGCCAAATCTGCCGTCTTCCCCAACTTGGCTTAACCCTTCACTGTGCCACATAGTATCTTCCTAAAGAAGCATGGTGGCACACACCTTCAATCCCAGCACTTGGGAGGCAGAGGCAGGAAGATCTTTGTGAGTTCGAGGCCAGCCTGGTCTACATAGTGAGTTCCAGGGCAGCTGGGGCTACAAGAAGGCCCTGTCTCAAAAAAGACCAAAAAAAAAAAAAAAAAAGAAGAAGAAGCTCTATAGATTTCTGCTCAGAAGCAGCTGATAGCCTCTACATCGTGAAGACCGAAGTCCGAGCTTCTCAGTGGACACTCCATGTCTGGCAGACTGTGGACAAAGACCTACTAAGATGCCTATCATCTCCTTTCCGCACCTGCCTTCAACCTTAAACTTTGTGCCTCTAGCTCCCATTAACTTTTCTTTTTTCTTCTTCTTCTTTTTTTTTTAATGGTCTTTCTAGTTGTTCAGCTTGTCAACATCTGACACAGCGTTTATATCGGGTTACGTCTCCATAGCACTTGTGGCTTAGTCCACAGGTTTCTTTTGTGGCTCTTGGATTTTTGTTATGTGTGATAGCACTATTTTTTTTTTTTTTTTTTTTTTTGGTCTTTTTGAGACAGGGTCTCCCTATAGTCCCAGCTGGCCTGGAACTCGCTATGTAGACCAGGCTGGCTTCGAATTTGGAGATATGCCTGCTTCTGCCTCCCGAGTGCTGGGATTAAATGCGTGTGCTGGCATCTGTCTTTTTAAATTTAATCTATTTTTTCCCCCTAGGTATTCCTTTTTTTCTATGCCTCTGTGTCTTCTCCATAGCACGAGCTAAAAACACATTGTAATGAATTGATCTGGAGCAGTTTTAACCACTCAAATGCAGCAGTCTGGAAAATCAGGTGATCTGAGTCTCCATAACATCACCCACGGTGAAAAATGGGGGTCCAGAGAGAGGGACCACGGTCTCCAGGGACGCTTGCGGAAAATTCTGCGGTCGGGAGTATAGCTTCCCCCAGGGTGCACAATGTAAATAAAACATAACCTCCGCGTACTTGGAAACAGACCCAGGATCTAGGATCACGGGATCCCGGTAACCGCCCTGTCCTTCCCCTGAGGTCAGCTGCCCTGACCATCACGCGCGGTCCTCAGGGAAAGCTCAACTTCGCAGTAAAACAGGCTTGCTCCGTGGCTCCGCCCCCGGCTGGGAGGCTCCGAGGGAAACTCCGGCACTTCTGCGCGCGCAGCTAGCGCTGAGGGTCCGCGCGGCGAGGCGCGCGCAGTTGCTCTGGAGACGGTGGCGCGCGCTCCTGCACGCGCGGTGCTCGCGCTTCTGAGGGGAAAGCGAGCGCGGCTGTGCGTGGGAAGAGCTTCCCTTCCCTCCGGAGTCGCTCCCCAGCGCCTAGCGCGCGCCGGCCTCTCCTTCGGGCGCGACGTCGCGGCTCACACGCGCCCCGCTCGCGCGCTTCTCGGCACCGCCCCCGCCTAGCACGCGCCGGCCTTTCGCCCGCACTGGTGCGCCGGTGCAGCAGGCCGTGGGAGCATCCGGGCATTTCCGTAGGCGATCGGCGACCGGGCGGTGGCGGCCGGAGACTCCCATGATCAGGCGGCGGCGGCGGGAGGGCGACAGCGGAGTGCGGCGTTGATCCGGAGGACGCGCAAGGAAGTGGCCGCGGCCGAGCGCGGGGCTTGTCCCCCTCTGCGCAGTGCTCGGTGCTGCCAGGGTTCCGAGATGCATCTGCATCAGGTCCTCACTGGGGCTGTCAACCCTGGAGACAACTGCTACTCCGTGGGCAGCGTCGGGGATGTCCCCTTCACGGTAAGCGGGGCCGGGCGCCCGCGGGAGCCAGGCTGGGGCGGGCTGCCAGGGCGGGCGGGCGTCTCCCGGGAGGCTGCGAGCGGCGGGCCCACCCACGCCCCCTCCGCGCCCGGGCCTCGCGGGGTAGACGCGCCCGGCATGGCTAGAAGGTCGAGGCCGCACCGACACCTGGGTGCGGAAGGTGGTTTGCAGCCACACGAAGCCGCGGTGGCGGTTTCCACCTGCTTCGGGCGTGCGGGGGGCAGCCGCGGTCTGGGATCGCGGAGGCGATGCTGCACGTTGGTTTTCTGGGCTGGGAGCTGCCTGCCACCGTCGCGGCCTTGCAGGGTGCCGACTCAGCCCCAGGGAATAGGAACGTTCGCTGTCGCCCTGCGGGGATTTGGAATGGAAGTCTCCCTTCCCTGGTGCCCTGAGGGTTAGCTCTTACTTAGCGCGGAGTCCGGGTTTGGTAATCCTTCTAGGTAATAATCTTTGCAAGGTAATTTTTTTTTTTAAGCTGAGGCAATGAAAATTTTATGACTTTTTCTTGAGCGCGTGAGAAAAATGTATGTAAACAACATTTTGGGTGCTTAGATGGATCAGCCATGCTTCCCAACGAGATTGGATTTATCAGTCCTTTTATAAGAATAGGTTGTTAAAAGCAAGGCCTCCTAGAAATTTATAAAAAAACACCAAAACACATGGATTAACATGAGTTTTTAAAAAATTGAAATCGTACATGGTCCTTCTTAGGAATTATAGCAGTGAGACCTCTATTGAATACACACTAATATTGATAACCATTATGCATGACAAAATTGGAAATTGCATAATATGCCTTTTTAGACAGACAGAAACCTTTTAATCTGCTGTGTACTTTCCAGCAACATGTTTTTAAATCTGCAGGGGAAAAAATGCTCCAGCAAAACTGCAGAATCATTATGTAGCAGTGCGTTCTGGAACAGAATTTGTTTTTAATGTTTTGTGATTTATTAGAAATAACCCAACCAGATTGCTTTTGGGCAATATTTTTTTAAGTGTAATCAACTCAGCTTTGTTTCAGTTTCTGATGAATCCCTTAAAATATAATTGTCTGACATACTGTTCAGTCACTCTCAGTCTTGTTGTATTTGACTTAAAACATCAGTACCTGAGAGATGCCTTAGAAGGTAAAGGAGCTTGCCACCAAGCCTGAAGGACCCGAGTTCAATCCCTAGGACCCGCATGATGGAAGGGGAGAAGTGGCTCCTGCTAGTTGTCCTCTGACCTCCACACACAAGTCATGACACTCAAACACCCTCCCTTCCCCAATAGATGAAACATGTAAAAAACAAGAAAAAGTCACTGACTGCTCTTGCAGAGGATCTGGGTTCAATTCCCAGCACCCACATGATGGCTATCAACCGTCCTTAACTCCAGTTCCAGGGATCCGAAACCCTCTTCTGACCTCTGCAGCATTGCATGACACGGGTGCACTCACATACATGCAGGCAATACATTCATACACATTAAATAAAAATAATAAATATTTTTAAAAAACAAGAAACAAGTCAGTATAGACTCAAACTTGAACTTAGTGTGGAGAATGTTTTGAGGAACAGAGAAAAAAATGGTTCTCTGTTTTTTACTTGTTTAGATAAGGAGGAATCTTCGAGAATTGGAAGAGGTTTCCTCCATCAAGAAACAAATCCCGAACCTTTGATTATGGGTATCTTCCTGCTATCTAGGTGATGCTAGTTTTCTGTGTCCATCTGAAGTGAAATGTTAGCTGGGTGTGGTAGCACACCCTATATAATCCTAGTACTCTGGTGGCAGAGGCTGGTGTTCAAGGACAACCTGGGCTATATGAGATCATGTCTCAAAACAATGTAGTGTGTTCTGGTAGAGCTGGTATGGTAGAGCTGGTATGTTAAATCAGATGCTGTCTGGAAAAGCTGGGGTAAAAGGGCCTGGCATGGTGGTGCCCGCCCTTAATCCAGGCAGAGGCAGGCAGACCTCTGTGAGTTCCAGACCAGCCTGGTCTACACAGTGAGTTCCAGGTCAGCTGGGGCTATCAGGATACCCTATCTCGAAAAGACAAAACAAAAATGACAACAAAAAAACATGGAAGAATTATTAGAGCTTTGCAGGTTTGGTTATGCCTTGGCCCATCTGAGACCACATCATTGCATCATTTAAAAATTTTCCTACTTCTTTAATTCATCCTGTCACCCAATCTAGCAGATGTGTAGTGACTATCAGATTTACCCCTTTTGCATGTCCCTAGTTAGGACTTTGTTAGAGAACCTTAGGGTGTGTTAATATGAAAGCTTCCAAATGGAATTCCTTTACTCATCTCTGATCTCTTTAGTTTTTCCTCTGCATGGCTGCTAGGATAATTTTCTCCCAGAACCATTTCATCATTCCGTGCTTTAAGAACATATAAGTTATTCCTAATAGTTGCATTTGGAAATATAAATTTGTCAGACATCCTACCTCTTACTTTGTATTGGACTTTGTGTATTCCTTACTTTGGCATATCTGTGACATACAGATATTGTAGCCTACATTTAAAATAATATTTTATTTTAAATTATGTGTCTGTGTGTGCGTCTGTGCACATGAGTACATGTGTCCATGGAAGCCAGAGGAGTCAGCTCCCCTGGAGCTGAAGTTACAGACAGTTGTGAGCTGGCTGTTGTGGGTGTTGATAACCCAACTTGGGTTCTCTCAGCAAGAGCAGTGCAGGCTCTGAACCACTGAACCATCTCTCCAGCCCTATAGCCTACATTTTTATGTTTATCAGGAGAGCTCTTGCTTTTCATCTTCCCAAAATATAACTCGGAATTTACCTGATTTAGGATGGCTATCCATGACAGTTATGTCATTTTGATCCTTTTGCAAATGTAAACAAATCTATTTTGCATACCCCTCATTTTAATACCTTAATTATGAATGCAATGATCCAGTTATAATTTTGTCATGAACTAGAAATGACCTTTTGGACACTATGAAAGCAGATTTGCTTAAAAACATGCTTAACAAGGGGCTGGAGAGATGGTTCAGCAGTTAATGGTTCAACTGGCTGCTCTTATAGAGGTCCCAGGTTCGGTTCCTAGCACCTGCATGGTGGCTAATAACTGTCCATCCATAACTCCAGTTCCAGGGGCTCTGTCACCCTCTTCTGACCTCTGTGGGCATTGCATGACATGGGTGCACTTACATACATGGAGGCAATACACTTAACAGAAAATTTAAAAAAAAAAGTTAATATGCTGTTTTCAAGCACTTTAGAATCAACTAATAAATACCCTGAGTGACTGTTTATGTAGCAAAAGTGAAGTCCCTTTACATAGAGCATATCATTTGACTGTTACAATCTAATGAAAAGATTTCACATGACTAAGAGAAGCTAGGCAGGACTGGAGTGAGTCTTGTGACTGGTGGTGCATTTCCTTCTTAACAGCTTTTTCTGAACTCTGTGTGTGTGTGTGTGTGTGTGTGTGTGTGTGTGTGTGTGTCCCCTAGATATGGTTGGTATGGGAGGAAAGACTCTTGCAGCTAGTGAGTGGTTCTTGGTATACTGAGAACATTTTCAAAATTGAATAATTTACTTGGAGTCTGTAACCTGGAAATTTGAAGAATAGAATTGTTCTAAAAAGATTTTCAGTGCTAATGACATTGTAACAATTGATAAACAGTGTATCGTGTATTTCACCGCACATGGTGGGTGGCTTTGAATGACTGCTTGGTGATGTCATGATGTCCCAGACTGTGCTATGATTGTGCAGTTTGTAGTGGACAATCCCAGTGATGTATGTAGTTTTAGTAGCAATGTGTAAGCTGTGATGGTTTTCATTTGTGTTTTGGCAATTGACAACAACTTTTTGTCTTTTTTCATTCAGTTGTTATTTTTGTAACTATCATCTCTAAAAATGATATTTTTGTGTATATTTTAATTTACTTTTATGTGTATGTGTGTTTTGCCTACATGTGTGTAAGTGTACCCATGTTGTACAGTGTCTTTGGATGTTAGAAAAGGGTGTTGGAGTCCCTGAAACTGGAGTCTTAACTCCAGTTATTAGCTGCTTTGTAGGTCCTGGGAGCCAAACCTGGGTCCTCTGCAAGAGCAGCCAGTGCTTTCAGCCACTGAGCCATCTCTCCAGCCTTGTATATCATGCTTTTAAAGCACCATTTAAAAAAAAATATCATTGTTCTAGTTTCTTTCTAATTGCTGTGATTAAAACACTGACCAAAACCAACTTGAGGAGGAAAGGATTTGACTTACATCTCCCAGGTCACAGTTCATCATTAAGGGAGCCCAAGGTAGGAACTTAAGGCAGGAACCTGGAGGCAGGAGCTGAAGCACAGGCCATGGAGGAACTCTGCTTACTGGCTTGCTCCTCTGGCCTGTGTTCAACCTGCTTGCTTGCCTTTTCTTTTTCTTTTTTCTTTTTTGTCTTTTTGAGGCAGGGCTCCTGTAGCCTTAGCTAGCCTGAAACTCACTATGTAGACCTGGCTGGCCTTGAACGCACAGAGATCTGCCTCTTCTGGGATTAAAGGTATGTGCCACCACGCCCAGCTAAAACAGGACAATTTTAAAAGTCCCACAGTCCTTAAAAAAAAATTCAAGACTTTGAAAGTTCAAAGTCTCTTAAATGTCTCTCAACTGTGGGCTCCTGCAAAATAAAAAACAAGTTAAGTACTGTTTTATTTCAAAGGGAAGAATAGGGCACACTTAAGCAAAACCAAAGTCCAGCAAAGTAGCTCAAGGCTTGACATCTGGGATTCACTCACAATCCTCTGGGCTCCAAAGGGCTTGGGAAACTCCACTTCTGGGTCTACAACGTACACAGCTTGTCTGATAGGCCCAGCCCAGCTCCACTCCAGACCTGCTGCTGCCCTTGGTAGTTGTCCCACGGTCCTCGCATCTCCAATGTGCCTGGGTCTCTGCTGAAACTGATGCTGCACCTTTACCAATGTACTCTTCTGTCCTCTTGGGGTGCCAAGTCTCAGATTCTCTCCATGACCCCTTCAGTCCT